CAAGATGCATTATGTAAAGGTACAATTCCCAATGAGAAATGTAATTGTGTTGTATACCTACAATGTACCAATAAAAGAATTTAATTAAAAAATTGAAATCATGAGTATGGAAATGAATTCAAAAATTACACAACATATTTAGAAGGGACTCTTTAATCTCACCCTCAGTGCTCAGTTCTACATTTTCTTCATCAAAAGAGATTAAGAACATTAACTAGAAAGCCAGTTTCCCTTTGCCTACCCCACTCCAACCAGTCTTATTTTAGTTTCTCATTCTTGGTGTATTAATCACAATCTTTTTAGCTAAAGGAATGGACAAACTTAGCCCAGTAGCTTCAGCGGCAAGACATTTTACTCTCCCATCACAGGGAGCCAACAGATAAAAATGGGCTCCAGGTGCAGCAGGTCATGCCTATGTTTGTACCTCTTTTGGCTCTTACCCCCCATCAGAGCTGCTCTCATCCACAACCTTGCAGCTAGATGGCCATTTGTCATTCCAGGAATCACAGGCAGAGAGGGACTGTATACTCATGTGTGTCTCTGGAAAAATTCTCATATTTTAGCAGCTAGAACTGGCCACAGGTGCATTCTTAAACCAATCTCTGGTGGCAAAGGTTGGGGTGGGATTTGTGTGGTTTGTTGAGAGTAACCAGGATTTACTTTTGAGCTAGGGATAGGGTTATTTTCTACATGGCCACATGGTAGGAAATGATATGAAAATGTGAGACCTGATTGCTAAGAACTCAGGTGAGCATATACTGGACAGACAACCAGCAGATGCTGTCAGTGCCCTGATCACATCACCAGGCACCATGATTGAGTGCACAGCACTGACTTCTGACCTCCAGCATCTGCATTTCTTTGCTTGCAAGCTTTCACTGATCTTTGGAGCCTGCTTTGCTGCCCAGGCACTCAGCCAGAAATGCTTAAGGAGGATTAATGTTGCCACCTTAGAAATAGTCCCTAATCAATGACTGATGGGAGAGCTACATCCCCAAGGGTATGAATGCCCCAATTTCCTCATTTCTGGGGTGAGATGTATGTTTACTCTGTACTAGCTTCCAGAATTTCCCCAGCAGAATCAAGCTCTAGTTGCCCACTGGAGTTCGCTGACTGCACACACTTAAACCTTCCTTTTCCTGTCCCACTTTTCCACACCTAATTATTATGGTGTTTCCTTGACTTCTTTTGACTTCCTATCTCAGTGCTGGCTTCTTGGGAAAAATCAAACAAAGATGCTCTGTATCATAAGTCAAACTCCTTCCTGAGCCCAAAGGTTTTGTGTGTGATGCTCCCATCTGCTCTGGAGGTTCTTCTCTTTCTTCTCAAAGGCTGTGTGCTCACTCTCCCTTCATGTTTCAGTGGAAATGTCACTTTCTCTGGGATGACTTCTTCAACCTCCCTCTCACACCTGATGCTATTCTCCCAGTGATGGCTCTCTCATTTTGCTCTTCTGTTCAACCATGCTTATAATGGTTGTAACTTAATTAATTGTGTGATTTTTTTGCTTTGCATCTTTAACCCAGTTACACTATGAGCTGCTTAAGGGTAGGAACACCATTTTTGACTCAGCACCATATGGCTGGAATCTAGTACAATGCATGACACAAAACAGAGGGATAAAGACTCACAGGCTTTCAGAAGATGAAGGTCTTTCACATCAAAGCTTTGGATGAAAAAGATCTTTTATCCATATGAATTCCATATTATTTCTTGTGTCAAAGTATAACTTCTATCCATAAGAAAGATGCCCATTGTTTAGTGGAGAATATCTATAAATGATGTCATTTTAGTTACCTTTTAGTTTTTAAATAGAAACAGGATTCCACTCTAAACCCACAATTTCTTCATTTATTCATTCAAAGTCTGAGCAGAGGGAGAGAGAGAAACTGAGAACATGAAATATTCTCCATTAATATGTTATTGCTAATGGATTCTGAAAAGAGTTCATGACAGATCATTCTAGGATCTTGCAAGGTACAGTGCCTCCTCTCAGCTTTGTCATTTCCACATTGATTTTGGCTTTCACTAAAGGAACAAAGAATAATCTTATTAAATCAATTCACTCAGTACACACATGGGAAAAATTTCTTTTAGTGATAAATAGCATAAAGCAGGGTAAGTACAAATAAACACTTGCGAATACTTGCTGTCTTGTTGCTAGGCAGGCTCTTCTCGAAAGTCCCTAAATGACATCCTTCTGTCACTAAGGGATGAGTCCAGGTTTGTGGTGCTTTGAGCTTATGCAATTTGGAATATTTTTGAGAAAAAAGTATAACTCTCCCCCAAATGTAGAACAAATACCTGCAAGAGGCTTACACAAGTGAGTGGCTCTGAAGTTTAACCTTCAATATTTTCACAGTAAATCAGCATCTGACCTTGACTCTGAAACTACTTTCCTCCTTCCCCATACCTGGACAGGTCTGTTCCAACCTCTACGACTTGTTTACATTGCTTTATTACTTGGAACCTCTCCCCTCTTTCTTCTTTTTCAGTCCCTAGACCACATTTTTTCAAAGTTTCGCTCTACAATGGCTTTTCTGATTTTTTCTAGCAATAAAGATCTTCCTTCCTGCAAAGGCCCACAGTGCTAGGTATCAGGCTCAGGATCATGTGTCATGAATTGCTCTATTTAAGGTACCTATACCATGTTTTCTTCAGCTAATCTGCTACTTTCTGGGTACAGGGACTACATTTTCATTCATATTCATCCCATCAACACTTAACACAGTCTGGGTATAGCAGGAAGGGAGGAAAAGCATAGGCACTATAGAAGCAAAATGATAGGGTTTGGAGAGGGAAGGGCCTTCAGCAAGTCACTTCTCTAAGTTCCAATTGATTAAATAAGCATAGCAATCTTTATTTCACATTATCATTAGGATTAAATTAAAGCATTTATGCATTCATCAAGTATTTACTTCTTATGGGGCCATTTTTGGCAATAGAGACTTGGAATATATTTGGATGAGAAACACTGTCTGCTGGGGGTTCTCACAGTTTAGTTGAGAGATGGCAATTTGTAGTGGGACAAGCTAAAGCTGTAATAGATATAGGAGTAGGCACAGAGCCAGACATGTGGTAGGTGCTCAATAAATTGTTGTTGAATAAATGAATGAGAAGACTTGGAAAATTATTAATTTTCCAAAATAAGTAATTTTCCAGATTTTCAGGATCATGCCAACATAAATATAATGGCTATGACAGTGCTTAGAATGTTGTAAAATGGTATATGCTAAAGAAAATAAAGTTAATAGGAAGAAGAAACCAAAGATTAGAGGTAGGGATGAAGAAAAAAGAGGGGAATGAATGAGCAATGAGGAGGAAGGGATGTCTGTGACTCACCTGACCAAGAGTGCACTCCATGCCACCTAGGAAGTCAGCCTCCTTCAGCCCATTGTGGTTGCTGCTGATGTCATGGACTTCAAATCGCAGGCGCTGTACTTCTTCAAAGTAAAAGTCCACAGTAAAGAGTTTTGAGTACACTGGGTTTATGCAGGTGCGAATCACCTCTGTTCTGTCAACCTGCCAAGAGAAAGAGAAAATCCACCAGGAATTAGGAATTTCATTATTATCTTTCAAGCAAATTAATCTCTTCCACACCATAAATGCACTCACTCCATGAAGTCACCAGGGCTGGCAGTTTGGAAGTCTACAAGACTATCTTCACAGAATGAGATAAGTGTCAAGGAAACTCTTATCAGACATACTAGTAAAGAAACTCAAGTTTTGTGTTTGAAGATTTAGTACATGTTATATTATTAGATGACAGGCAAGATGGATTCATCATTAGTGGCTTCCTCAAGACTTGGTGCAGGAGATGAGATGGCTGAGTGTGTCTGGCATTGTTTCTGCATCTTCTAATCTGTTCCATTGGTCCTCAAGTCTGTTTCTTTGCCAGTACCATGCTGTTTTATCACAGTAGCTTTGTAGTAGAGTTGCAGGTTGGGGATTGTGATACCCCTGCCATGTCTCTGTTACCTAGGATTGCTTTTGCTATTCTGGGTCTCTTCTTGTTCCAAATGAATTTTTGGATTGTTTTCTCAAGTTCTATGAAGTATGCTGCTGGGATCTCAATTGGAATTGCATTAAATCTATATAGCAGTTTTCGAAGTATGGCCATTTTCACTCTATTAATCCTTCCTACCCAGGAGCAGGGGAAGAAAAGGTCCAAAGGGGTAGGGGTAGTGGGAGGGGCAGGGGAAAGGAAAGAAGGGAAAGGAAAGATGATGAGAAATGGAAAAAATGGAAATAAAGTCTTTGTAACTAGGGAAGGGTGGAGGGCATGAAGGGAGAGCTAGGAATGGGGAAAAAATAAGAACCAAGATGCATTACGTAAAGGTACAATTCCCAATGAGAAATGTAAGTGTGTTGTATACCTACAATGTACCAATAAAAGAATGTAATAAAAAAAAAAGAAACAGAGAACAATCACTGAGAACAGGAAAGTTAATACCAAAAAGAAGGGATAAGAGATATAGAGTACTAAAAAAAAAAAAAAAAACAAAAACAAAACAAAAAAAAAAAACAAAGACTTGGTGCAGGAGAATTTGAGGGTGCATCTAGGCTCAGGAGAACAGAAATCAATTAATGATGCCTAATAGGCATAGTAATGGAAGCCAATTCTATTCTAATAGGAGTTTCTTAACTCACAATTCCCAGCATAATAAAGTAAAAAGACTATAAGCATGGTAATGAAAATAACACTGCCATCGGTTTAAATATGCCCTTTATTAGGTACAAAACATTTATTCATTCACTTCAATTCCTTAGGCCTCAGTTTCCTCATTCGCAAAATGAAAATTGGAAAATTAGAGGTTGGAAAGTCACTTTATGTACTAATGCTACATGAGCTATGACCCCCTTTGCCTCCTTTGTTAATAATCCTCCACCCAATTCTCCAATAATCCATATCTGCCATTTCTGTGACCCAGAAGGCTGACCTCTCTTGACTGAACTTCCTAGGCTCTCTTTCCCTCTGAGTTCTGGTGGGAATTAGCCTGAGGCAAGACTTGGAAGAAGATGAGGAAGTGGGAAAATAGAGAGGTGCATGCTTCAACACACACACAGGTTCTGGCAGGATCACAATGAGAGAGCTTTTGCTGAGGCTTGGTAACACAGTCTCTCTCTGTTTGGATCCTTCAGAATGAGGGGTGGTGATGGCTTTCTGCTGCCATTATCTTTGTTATCTTAGATGTTCCTTTCCTTTGTTGGTTCCTTTGGCCCTGTGCATGTCCCTGGGAATAGTTCTTGTTTAAAGAGCTAGCCCTCTAGGTTAAGCTCTGTGGGTATGCCATCTATTTTGTGTCAGGATCCTTGCCACTAAGGTTCTTAACACACAAAACCATTTGTATTCTGGGAAAGTTAGAGGACTAAGTGATGGATGATCCAAGACCCTATAGCATCTTTCAACTGGAAATACCCATCTTTCATATTTTACAAATCAACTGGAGCCTATTTACTCTGTTGACTTTCAAATAGAAATATTTATTAGCTATATCCCACATATCATTTGATAGTACAAATTAAGTCATTCAATACATGATCATATGAGTAAATGGAAAGAGTTTCCCAATAAAAAAATTTCTTGATACAACATGCATAACCATGTGTGTGGCACAGAAAATATGATACTGGCTCCAATTTCCTCTGATACTATTAAGTGTATGTAATGCTCCAATCCTGGTACTGACCATTCCCATTCCTATATATAAGGCTGTGGATGAGAGAACTGTCCTTGGCAGTGACAGCACCTGCCATGTTGAGGGGGGCAATCCAGGCTTCAAGGAGAATATAGTTCTTGTTTTGTTCCTGTCCAACAGATAGGCAGACAAGAAACCAATCTCTAGCTCACTGTTGATTAGAATTGTACAAGTTACTGTGCAAATTAATGGTTATTTGACTACACCAGTTTCCCATGATGATCCAGCTTCTATTTTAGCTGAATTGGCTAGTCATATACATTTAGGGATCAGGGACAGGACAGATTATGCTGTTGGCTGACTGTGTGAGTCTAAGGATTTATTGTAATGATGTAAATTTTTTCAGAGCCCATAGTTTTGAATAATGGTATAAATCAGAGGCCACAAACTTATGGTTTGTAAATATAAGGTGACTTTTATTTCTCTTATTCAAAATAGTTTTTTCTTACTTTGCCAACTATACATGAGGGCTGTTTCTATTGTCCTCCCTTCAGAAACAAATTAGAATATCTGGCAGTTTTGGGCCACATTCGTACATGGCAACACTGAAGACTGCTCCATTCAGACAGAATATCCACTCTCAAGTTCTTGCCGTCCCTTCTCCCTCATTGAACGTCCCTGCATGGCCTCTGGAGGCATTTTTCCAACATCTGGTCCAAATTCAAGGACTAATGAGTCATATAATAAGAGATTCAATTATATTCATGTGATGCCTTTTGGTAGAGTATTTCAAAATAACCCCCAATAAGTAGTAGGCGGATTTGACATGCTCAGGACACAGAAAATATATCTATCTGTGGCTGGAAGAGTGCTCTGGGAAGTATCAGTTGGTAAGGTCTTGGAGATGGAAACTATACTCTTTGTTCCTCTGCTTTAACCACCACAAATGACATAAATTGACAATGTGCACCAACCCTTCTGTTATTCTTCCCATCTTTCTATTGTGAAATGGCATTCCTATATAGACATGAAGTTCATGTTGGCATCAAGCCATATACCTCTAACATGCTACCACAGTAAGATGCCAGCATTTACTTGAAGTGACTGTGGGCATATGCTCATGAGCATGCGTGCACACGTGTTCATGTGTGTGTGTGTGTCTGTGTGCATATTTTAGGGAAATGACAAGATTAAAAGAAATTGAGAAATACACATTTGCATTAGCAAGATAGATAATTTCAAAGGATAATTTTGGGCCAGTAAGAACCCCAAGAGTAAAAGTGCTCAGGGAAAGAAGAAAAGAAGTAATTATAAGGAAAGTGCTTGTAATGCTAAATGCATGTTACGAGATGTTTCAAAATGTTCTATATACCCAGTCATTATGGGAGAGGCATTATCTTTTCTGGAGGCTAAGGCCAGGTTTAACCTGATTAACAGGGTCTAGGGCAACTTGTGTTTCTCACTGAGAGATGTCCAGGTCAAGGTGGTTGTTTCCAAGATCATCCACTTCCTGGTATTACCAGTTACAGAAGAACCAACCAGGAGAGATTCTTTAAAATTCAGATTCCTACTCTAGGCAATTTTGATTCAGTGAGAATAAGATAGGATCCAGAAATCTGTAGCTTAGAAAATGTTCAGGCAAGGCATGGTGGCACATGCCTGTGATCCTAGCATATGGGAGGCTAAGGCAGGGGGATTGCCAAGAGTTCAAGATTGTCCTGGGTACATAGTGAGTTCAAGGCCAGCCTGAACTGCATAGTGAGATCCTGTCTCAAAAAATAAAGTGTCCAGGCAATTCCAATGTGGGATATAGATGAGATATGGAAATAGAGAGATATAGAGTCTATCATTTTCTCCTGTGTGGTTTTTTTGTCACAGTTTAATCCCATTGGCCCTCTGATATGTACAGTGCAAAAATATGAATGCACGTGTTCTCTCTTCTAGTCATAATCCCTGATATTCCACTGCTTCATGGATTAAAGAGTATACATTTTAAAAAATTGATTCTTATTCTAATCATGTGATGAAGCCTTATATTCTTTCACATATGAAAAAATTCAAGGTCAGATAGCAGAAGTTACTGATCGTCAGAGTGGCACTTGAACTCAGTCTCTGATCCCAAAGCCTGAGTTACTTTCCTTAATTCAGGTTTTTTTATGTGGATCCCTAGGAAGCAAGGAAGAATGTGGGTAGATTATGATGTGACAATGATAGACTCAGTGACTGAATATTATATTTGATGAGATGCTCTTTACAACTGACATATAATTGACATATAATACACCCCATCTTTTTAAAGCATGCAATTCAATAAATTTTGATACATGTATTTACTTGTGAAACCATCATCACAATCAAGTGAACATATCCATATTCCCTAAAGGAAAAATAGAGAACCTTTTAGAGACGAGTGCCCAAAATGCAACACAAAACCCACTTTTTTTCCCCCATTAAGTTTATTGGTACATTTTTGGTATAAAATACAGTTACATTCATCATTGGGATCTTGTATCATTACATGAGTTTCTTGGTTCTTTTTTTTT